ACTTGGTCTTGTATGACTAGTATGGGTCATTCCTTGTGCCATTGGTCTGGTTCCCTGTAGTTCATAGTTGCAGTAGGTGGTTTGCACTAGGAGCCTGAGGAAAGAGCGCTTGTAATCGTGCAGCATTTATGCATGCTTACAGCTGGGTTTCCCTTAACCTTGCTACACCACTAGTTTGGCTTTACTGAACTTATTTCCACCACTTAAACTGAAGTGCCAGATGCTGTTTTCTGGTCTGGTTACTTACTGACTTTACAGTATAGTTACTCCAACAGCTGTAGCATATTGGTATTGCCTCAGTTCAGCTAGGTTGGCTGTGCCATGTGGTACAGAATGCCGTGCTTCTGCTGACCAGAACATGGGGCCATGAATCAATCTTGAATGCTTATCTGGAAAGATTTCTTGCTGAATGTGCAGTCTCTCAACAGGAGACAGCCAGGCTACGTAGAAGAAGGAAGTTGGAGAGTAAATCCATGCAAAAGCTATTCATTTCTTACTGTGGTAGCACAGTGTGTAGAAATTATTGTTAGGATTGGTGAAGGAAGAGGTGCAGTCAGATATGAGGAAATTAGTATGTTACCCAGCTCTGGGAGTCCTGCTGCATGTTGGATAGTTCTGGTTTCCTCCTCTCAAATGATACTAGGAAGAAGTTTTAGATGAATTGCCAGTGGAAATTTTTCCATCTATTTTGGGGACACTTATCAAATACATTCAAGTTTTTGTTTGATTTATTAGTTTGTGACTTGCTGTCCATAGTTACCTTTGTTTTCTGGCTTATTTTGTATCAAACAAATTAATAGAAAGGTGTTTTACAGCTTTATTTCATTTCAGGCAAAATAAAATGTTCAGAGCTATAAATATTTATAACTCTTTCATAGAATCATAGAAGAATTTCAGCAAAGAATGTTTTTTGTATTTAATGTTCAAACTGTTTCACTAAAAATACCTACTTTGCAAGGGATAGAGAGATGTTTAGTTTTGTAAATATTGCTCCCTAAGATTCCAGAAAATTTCTTTTAATGAAGAGAAATGGTTAAAGAAAAAAGTTTACCTGTTCATTGAGTATGTATCTGCTTGGAAGTCTATGCCTGTTGTGCTTTAACAGGATCCTAGCTCTGGTTGTTCTGAGGATGTGTCTATGCAGGGCACATTTGGGAAGGACACAGGAACTTCAGCTGAGAACTGTGTAAATGGAAGCGGAGGTGCCTGCTGGAAGCTTTATCCTCCCAGCGTACAGTGACCAGAGGCTGTGGTGAGCCAGCTACCCAGTGACCATTCTTTGCCACATGTTGCTTCTGCTCCTCTGCTCCTCTGCTGGAGAGTATTACTCGCTCAGATGTTCTGGCAAATCCTCTGTATAATCTCTCCATAACCCAGTTCTGTCAAAAAGTGAGGGAAAGATTCTTCAAAAATGACGGCAAACACACACACACACAAAGTGTCACAACTGGTTGAGAAAGTGATTATGTGAACAGCAACACTGGCAGCCAGGAGAGGGACTGTGAGCTTCTGGAGCTGAAGGGGAGTTGGTTGCTGCCCGCTTATGCTGTTGTTGAACCGCAGGCAGAAAGGCGTGCGTTTCTCCATCTTAACGTTACTTTACTTTAAAGAACCTAAATATTGCCTGGTTCTTATGTCTTTCTTTTCAGCACTTGATAATATCTTGGGATTTATGCCTTTGTAATATTTTTCTTTGTTGCTTTGTTGGCAAGCTATCTCTGTGGGCACACAGAGGCCTGCTCATTTTGATTCAGACACTGGTTATAATCTTGTTTTTTGGGGATTTCCCAGAACCTGAGCACTGTGATGGTCATCTTGAGGCCTTGATGTACATACTCTGATACGTACCTGCAGGCATTGGGTTCTCTCACTGATGATCTGTCACATTTTAAAAGCTTAGAGCTGTTATTATATTTCCCAAATCTGTCAGATCCATAAATTATTACTTCAGTCTCCAGCCTTGCAAGCACAGATCAGTCACAGCCTGATTTAGAAATGATCTACTTCATTACTCACAGAGCACTAGACTTCATACGAGGCAAACCATTCCTTCCAAAATACTCTTAATTTCCAGAAAGCCTTTGACTTTGGGCCGGCCATTCCACAGACCGAGTGATTTTGGGGAGCAGAGTCTATTACCTGCACAGAGAAATATTTAAATGTTGTGTGAATCAATGTATGGAAGATAAAGGGAACGTGGGAGATAATTTCCCCATGTTTTTCTCTGTGATTTCAGCCCTTTTTCTTGACCAAGCTCTTAGTCCTTTTGAGAAAAACCAGCTGTCCTATTTTGGCTGTTACCCAGGAGGTGGAAACTGCCTGTCCTGGCTATTATTGAAGGCCAAGTGGGGAGGTTTAGAGCCTGAGGGTAATCTGGAGGAGACAAATGAAAACCTTTTTCTGAAGTTTGATAATACAGTGTTGGGGGGAGCTGATAACTCATGGGCTTCTTTCATAAGCTTTTTCTAACAAAGCATCCTTTGGTGTCTCTGAAACTAAGAGCACTGAGTTGAAGGAGATCAGATCACCAATGTATTTAGGTCCTTCCTTCTTTAAGGAGTTGAATTTGACCCTGAAAAACAGGAGGGGCATTGTGGAGGTCACAGTGACAGGTTCCCAACTTTTAAGATTGTGTTAAGGATGATAGGGATCAGTTTGCTGCATCTGTTTATGTAGGACAGGGAAAAAAGGTTCTTTTGCATGTGGAAGGCCTAGGCTGAGAACTTGGGTGGGTAGGGAGGAGCCACCTAATATAAACTACAGTACAAATGGAGCAGCTTCCCTGTAGATGTTGTGGACTCCATTGGAATGGAGCTTTGCCAGAATGGATCAAATGAGCATCTGGCAAGGGCAGACACTGATTTCTCTTCTGAAGTGGAGTAGAAAATAGAGGAGAGAGAGAGTTTAGAGGGTTGCGTTGTAATGGCCCTGCTCTTAACACCCTGACCAGACAGACCACAGAGCCCTGTTGTGGCTCACCTTACCACACTGGAAACTGGCAGCCAGGTTCCAGAGGTCACCTGTGAGGTACAGCAGCCTACTGAGCAACTTGGTCAGACTGTTTTCCAAGCTGAACTCTCTTTTCCAGCTGTTAGTGTGCCACAGCATTTTTTAACAGTGCACATGAACATAATTACTCTTCCTGGGACCATTCTGGATGGTGAAAAACTCTTCCAATCTGCGGTTTCTCAGGGTATTTCAGGTTTTGGAATGCTCTGAGGTTTGCTTATGTCTAAGTAAGGAAGTGCTAAACTCAACCAAGTTATGGTGAATCTCTGTGGAAATACTGCAGAGATGTATTTTTTTTGTCTTGTATTTACTTTGTGCTGCTGCTGCTATACTGAATGATTACTTCTGAAATGAAAAGAGCTTTTGGATGGATTTTAGGAACTAGTTTTTGGTGGTAGGGAGAAATCTTCATTTACTCATCAGACCTCTGCCTGGAATGATTGGTGCAAAACACAGATTGTTTTGTTACCAGACACTGATAGATAAGGAGAACACTGAGGTGTGTACATTCATGATTTTTGTATGGTTTTTAGGTTGTTCACACCTTTTCCTTTGTCAGATAGCATTTCATACTGGCACTGAGTGGTCTTGGATGTACTAAAAAATCCAAAGTAGGATGAGATGCTTTTGAGAGTCAGATGGATGGGCTGCCCCAAAACCATGGGGGCAGGATGACACCTGAGAGCCAAAGCTGCTCCTAAAGGTTATCAGTAAAAAATGATTTAGCTCTTATTCCATGGATAAGGGCTGCAATCACTGAGCTCAGTGCATTGATCAAATGTAAATTGTGGTTCCTTCATATTCCTCACGGTAATTTTGTCAAACTGAGTATCTGTGCTGTAAAAAGATGCACAGCTGGGGTTTAATTTTTTGTTCAACTGCTGGAATTTCTCCTATTCAAATTATCATCATCACCAGTAGTTCACAGAATCCCACATCCTCACATTTAAAAATACACATACATGAATTTATGCAGAAAGGATTTGGGCGTTTTGGTAGATTCTGTATTTGTGCAGCAAGGACTTCAGTTCTTGGAGATCACTGTGGAAAGTCTAATGATGGAAGAGTAGTATGAAGTGTTATGACAGCAAGGGGAGACACGAGACAAAACCCAGACTATCTAAAAACTGAAACAAACCAAAATGCATCTGTAGCTTCCTGTTTATGTAGACAAATGCTGTCAAATTCAGTGAAGTTTCTGAAATAGAACTGAAATGAAAAATAGTTCGCTCTTGAAGCTCTGGGTAGCTGGGCAACAGGATAAAAACGTCTAGCAGATATATGTGGAGACTTGGAAAAAACCACAAGAAAACAAAGTTTTTCATGCTTAAGAATCATTAAGGACAAATTACATGCTAAAACAATCATAGAATCAGAATCCCAGACTGGTTTGGGTTGGAAAGGACCTTAAAGCTCATCCAGTTCCAACCCCTGCCAGGGGCAGGGACACCTTCCACTAGAGCAGGTTGCTCCAAGCCCCTGTGTCCAACCTGGCCTTGAACACTGCCAGGGATGGGGCAGCCACAGCTTCTCTGGGCACCCTGTGCCAGTGTCTCACCACTTCTTTAAGTTAATCGAAGCTGTTAGTTACCATCTAATCTAAGTGGTCTAATAAAAAAGTGTGGCAAGAGAAAAATCATTTTCTGTCAGTAGTAAACATATTGGCAATATATCCAGTGTGTGTATTGTTTTCCTGTGCCTCATTTTGGCATACCTCAGACAAACCTTTACTTAATGCGTACACAAAGTTTTGGAAGATCAGTTTCCAATGTACCAAGAAAAATCCATGGTTTAGGTAGTTTCTAGCTTGATTATGCTAATGAAACCTTATGTAGAACTGCAGTTGAATAATTAGAATCCTACTGAACTAAATTAAAATATTTTTAATGACAAGTTGAGTGTGTTAAAGCACGAAGTGGAAACCTCCAAGCAATAATGCTGTTACTGCTTTTTCAGGTACTTTAGGAGGAACTTAGAAGTGACCTGGCACCATGGTAGCTCTTTCCTTGAAGATCTGTGTCCGCCATTGCAATGTAGTGAAGACGATGCAGTTTGAACCATCCACTGCAGTGTATGATGCTTGTAGAGTTATTCGTGAACGAGTGCCAGAGGCTCAGACGGGGCAAGGTGAGTTCCTATGTTTGTCCTTAGTAAATTCATGGGCTGAATTGAAAGTAAACGTAGACCCATGTGGGGTATTTTCCACTGTTCTGTTCCTCCATTCATCTTTCAGGCTGGCGAATTTGTTTTATTTTGTTGTTTGGTTGGTTTTTTCCTCTGTGTGTGTAGTTTTCGGGGAGGGGTGTGTTTGGTTTTTGTTTGTTTTTTTCCAAAACCTAAGGCATGGAGTGAAAGGCACAAAGTGCAAATAGATTTGTAAGTGACAGAAGGTAGCTGCATCCTTTTTCTTCCTTCTGTCCTGACAGAGTTTTTTCTACAAAGGATGCTTTCTAAAGCAATGTTTGTGGCTATGCTTTCTAGGAAAATCTGGGCAGGCTTATTTTTGTGCTTCAGCAAAGGAAGCAACCACATGAATTACGAAAGAATGACTGGACATCTCCGAAATGTGCAAAGGGAAATGGTTGAAATGAGTTAATAAGTAAAAGCATCACCATGCTGTGCATGCCATATTCACAATGCTGCTACATGTTAATTGAGTTTAACCCTGATGTAAGCTTTAAGCTTAACCCTGATGCTGAATAACCTTGAATAAAATCATGCTGGCTTTATTAGGTTTGATGAGTCTGTTTCCTCTGTTCCACAGCCTCTGACTATGGATTGTTCTTATCGGATGATGATCCTCGAAAAGGTATATGGCTGGAGGCTGGAAGAACGCTGGATTATTACATGCTGAGAAATGGGGTATGGTGCAAGTCTGTTGCTTCTTTCATCAGCAGGTTGTTAGAAAACTTGTTTCCTAAGGAACAAGAAGAATGTTTAGCATTTGGAGGTGTAGGAGGGTCTTGAGTTTGTTCCTGAAATTGGCGTACTTCTCATCCTTGCTGTGTTAGTGTTTTACTGCATCTAGTTGTGACTGAGCTACATAATGTCTTCACAGAATGATTAGAAGAAAAATAAAATATAAGCTTTGTAATAACCTTTAGTGCAAGGTCATCTCAAATATAAAGGGTAGGCTTCTTAAATACTAAATATGATGAGATCATACTTGCTTACGTTATGGCCAGCTTGCTTACAACCAAAAGGCATTGGTATCCTTTTTAAATGCTAAACTAGCTTTTGCAGCACAAACGTGCTTTGGTCTATCCTCCCCTGTTTAGGTTTTGGTCTAGCCAGCTAGGAAAAGCTCTTAAAAAATTACTTTGGCAGAACTAAGACACTTTTTAAGTTTGCTATGTAAGTAAGTTTGCCTAAACTATAACAAAAGAAAAATGCAGCTTGGAGGGGTTGGGAAAGGAATCCTGGTTTAGGCATCTAGGTGGATTGGTTTGTGGTGGCTTCCGAAAGCATTTAGAAACAGTGTCGTTTGCTTCCTAGGATATACTGGAGTACAAAAAGAAGCAGAGACCTCAGAAAATACGTATGTTGGATGGTTCAGTGAAAACAGTCATGGTGGATGATTCCAAAACAGTTGGTGAATTACTGGTTACTATTTGCAGCAGGATAGGTAAGATTCTGGGACCCACATGCTTAAGAATTTGGTTTCTGCCTTATTTGCATTTTGATTTTTTTGATGTCATATGTATTACTGACTAGAAATTACTGGCATGTATGTTAAAATATTTAAATTTGTTATCAGTTGACATTTATCAAACACTTCTTTGATGTCTGTTCTCTAGGTTTTATGAAAGTCTGTAGAAAGTTAGCTTATATCCTTAAACTTCAGTATCTAGCAGGTAAAGGCACAAAATTATCTAACAGTATAGTTACAATTTTTTTATTGTATGTTACATTTACATACGCTTGCCTGCTTAGTGGTAGAGAATTAGATTAGATTTATACTTAATTTTAATGTGATAGAAGATAAAATACTGTTAACCTTGAAATGTACCTAAACTTAAGGCTCTGTGTTGTTACGACTTAGACTTGATAACAGTATCATTTGTGAAACAACATATGGAAGCCTTCCAGAGCAGCTGGTCAGAAACGTGTCATATTGGTTATAGTCTGTCTGTATTTACCTAAATAGAGACATTTTGAAAACTAATTCATCTTTAACTATAAACATGCATCCAGCATGGATTAGCTTAAATCATCTTAAACCATGCTTAATTCTCATTTAGAATTAAAGTGGACTTAATTTGATTTAGATTAATTTGCTTGGGAAGTAAATTAAGCTAAATTTAAATTCAACTATTTCGTTCTTGTTTAAGTGTTTCTATGCTGGATTCCAATGTGCTGAAACTAATTTACTTAAGAAATTAGTTTGACTTATTTTCATGAATGTGGTCATGTAGGTGAGCATTTAATTTGCTTTCCTGTGTAACGCAAACATGCTTTAGGAAGCAGTGGAAAAAACCCAGGCAGAACAAAGAAATGAGAGCAACTTAGCACATATGCTAAATGTTGTGAACTGTTTTTTCGATTCAGTTTTGTGTAAAATTCATGGGAAGAGTTGGGTTTTAAAACTCATTTATTTCACATTTCTATTCCTCAGTCTGCTCTGCCATATTTCTTCCCCACATGGTGGGCAAGCTGAAATGACTCAGTTCTCAGGATGCAGTTGCAGGCATCCATGAAAGGAAATTTACTATGGCATGTCCCCATTTTGGAATTTACTGCTATTTTAAATTCCATCATGTTTTTAAGCTGGCAGCTTCTCTTGGGAGATGACTAAAAAAGCCTTAATATCTTTCCAAAAGTGGCAAATGCAACATATGACAGAGGAATGATGTATTTTAAGGATAATGCCAGATATTGGAGAGGTGTCTTGAATGCAGAAGCTGTAGATTATTCTTGGGACCTCATACCCCATACACTGATTCAGCATTTCATCTGCAGTATTTTACTGTATCTGAAATGAGGCATTGGTGGGTTAATATATAGAGAAGAGTATTTCACCTGTACTAAAATGTATTAAATTTTTATTGATACAAGCACTGGATTTATTTATGATTCCAGGAATAACGAATTATGAGGAATATTCCTTAATCCAGGAGAGCATTGAAGAGAAGAAAGAGGAGAGTACAGGAACACTTAAGAAAGACAGGACGTTGTTGCGTGATGAAAGAAAAATGGAAAAATTGAAAGCAAAGCTTCATACAGATGATGATTGTAAGTGATGTATTCCAGGATAATTCTTCAATTAATATCTTTCCACAGTGCAGTGCAAGAAAACCATATGGGAATGCATTTTTTAGATTCTTCATTGTGTCTCACTTGATCCCTAACTGTATTTTTGCACCCTTTTATATACGGTGTCATCGGTTTTAATATTAGGCAAATGGACAAGTTGTTGCATCTAGTTGTAAGAGTTAGCAGCTCCTTTGAAGTGCGTTTGGTCACTTTTTTGGTAGGGGACTTGTAACCTAAGTGTGAAGGGTCATTTCTGTAATGACCTTTTGCTCCTCTTCAGTCAAGTTGGATATTTAAATACTGATGCCTGTTGAAAGCCATCAAAGGGGGGTTTTGTCCTTGAAGGTACAAATTTTAAGTGTAAATGGAGCTTGCCGAAGAACTAAGACAGTATTTGATTAACTGTGACTAGCAGGAAGATGTTTCAAATTGCAATCGGTGATAAGAAAAGTAATCAGAACGACTGGGTTTAGGGGGAAAACGTGGTAAACTTTCAAGTAATTTTGAAATGAAACTTTGAAGATCTAAGTGTAGTATTGAAAGGTTATTATAGTTTCTTCAACAATATTAGTGGTGTTTTATGCCATAGTAAATTCTTGTTTCTCAGCAGTGCTGTTCTTCAGTTCTCATTTGTAGCCACCTTCAACACTAATAATTAGACACAGAAATGAAAGGAACATTTTTTTGCAGTGTTTTCCCCCTCCAGTGGAAATATCAATTTTCACATGATTTTCACATCAGCTTTTAACACTGGCAACAGTGTGTATTTAACTGTGTGCATGTCTGGTTCTGTTACAGTAAATTGGCTGGATCATAGCCGAACGTTCAGAGAACAAGGAGTCGATGAAAACGAAACACTACTGTTGAGGCGAAAGTTCTTTTATTCAGACCAGAATGTAGATTCAAGAGATCCTGTTCAGCTTAATTTGCTTTACGTTCAGGTACAGTGTGTGGACCAGAAGTATGGGTTCTGTCTTGCCTGAGGAAACCTGTGTAGGTTAATTACAAACGTTTTGTTGCTGAAATACTCCATCTTCTAGAATTCCAGTTCTGGATGTGCTTTGAGTTTGTTTTCTCTCTATCACTACAAGAATACATGATAGTGCAGAGGCTTTGCTGGCTTTTTTCTTAATCAAAAACTTTCAACCCAATAAGGGCTCAGTCAAAAATCCACTTACTTTCACATCCTGTTTCCTTAAAATTCATGAATGTCTTTTTAAGTTGTTCTTTTTAGTTCTTCTCCCCATTCTCTTCTATAGGTGATGCTTTCTCTGTAATGTGGAGTCTCAGGTCAGTCTTGCAGCCAGCTTTCTGCTTCTCATCTCTTTTCCACCTGATCAGTGTGAGAGCTGCTTCTGCATTCCCTTTCTAATCTTCAGCCTTGATAGCACACAAGGCAGGCAGGCTTCCTGTTCATAATGGTATCATGTAACACAGCAGCAGTCTACTTAGGCAGGTTCCCCAATCTGTTAGAGGTACTATAAGTATTTTAGCAAAGCTGAGTTTTATGCAGAAAATCCATTTAACTGAAGGCTCCATTGCAGTGGCCTGTAGTGCAGTCCAACAAACCCCAACAAACCAACCAACAAAACAAATATTGCAATGTTCATTTGTTATACTTGCAGCTGATTCAAATGGGATTGGTCTAAATTACATTTGAAAACTCCGAGGCAAAGGATGAAGATGGCATTGCTTGTAAGACTGCAGTACATTTTTCAAGCATTTTAGAAGTCTGCATAACATTGAGCTGTTCTCATGCCACTTAGATCTTTTTTTTTCTGGCGACTGTTAAAACAGTGTGTGTTGATTCTGCCTTGTCATTGGTTTGTCTTTTTATTGTTTTCTCCGTGTTTATCCATTGTTTTATCCATGTTTATGGATTCATGAGTGACCACTGAATTTAAATATCAGGAAGGGAAATGCTGTTTGCCTCTTGGTGTTGCCATTTAACAATAGTGATCTGGTTTTTACTTACTAGATGTGCAGATTGTTTTCCCTGCTGTTATGAGGCAGTAAGATGCAAAAGCTTTTATATGTGTGCATGTCCACACACATATATCTCTCTCCGTATGTGTGTGTGTGTTTACATACACGTAAGTGTATATACATAAGTTGTATTTTATGTACACATATGGTAGGAAATGGGTGTCAGGTCCTCTTTTTGATGGAAGTTGTTAGAATCGTGATTTCAATAAGTCTCCATCAATATTCACCAGAAAATAATCTAGCCCTTTATTTATCTTATTAGTCATAAACACATCCAGAATGGATTAATAAAGACATTGAGACAGAAAAGACAAATGTGTTGCTGAATGCTTGGGCCATGTTTAAGCTTTCAAGGAATTTCAGAGATGTAATAGTTATTTTGGATGTCCCTGACATGTCTTTGCTTACCTCCTTTAGGCTCGTGATGACATTCTCAATGGGTCCCATCCTGTCTCCTTTGAGAAGGCCTGCGAGTTTGGAGGCTTTCAAGCGCAGATCCAGTTTGGACCTCATGTAGAACACAAACACAAACCTGGATTTTTAGAGTAAACACTTCTAACTTCTAAATTTGGGTGACCTCAAGTGTTACTAATGTTGAGTTGTCGCAGACTAAATGCATTTTAGTGCTCCAAGTAGAGGTAATTGGAATCAGCATGTTTTCTGTAGCAATCTCACTGTATAAAGAGCCTGGTTGCAAAAATCAGCAACCCAAACTGATATGGGAACCTTGGGCAGTGGCTTACTAGGCAGCACAGGGCAGCAGCTCCATCAGGGTGCCAGTTAAGTATGCAGCTGGATTCCCCAGCCACCTGGTAATGGGGGAAGACTGGGCTTTTGTTCTTCTGTAGGAGTCTTCTGCCTGCATTTAGTAATGCCATGGGTGAATTAAACGTGCATTAGTATGTATCACAGATGTTCTGATTTGCTAGGTAAGTACTTGAATGGCAAGATGCTTTGTCATTTGAATAGAGTTAATGTTACTGTGCGTGTAGGTTGAATTTTACAAACTTCTTTAGTGACATTAATTAGTTGTTCAGATTCAGCCTCTCATGATGTTATATGAATGGAGATCTGGAACTGTGCACTTTGGTTCAGATGTGGACAGGAGTCCTGCTTACAAATGGCCCATCCTTTAATCTTTATTTTGAAACTTAACTGCTGTCAGCAGGGCAAGTTTAGTTTGTCTGAAATGCAGATGTTCAATTTTTTTACTGATTTTGATTTTCTGATTGGTTTTCCTGCAGTAGAATTAACTGAGGGCCGGAGTCTGAGGAAAGGAATGTAGGAAGGTAAAAGAAAGCTATTTAAGCTATTTACTGCACAGCCCATCAAGCCTTGCCTGCATATGAGGCTCACGGATACCCTAATGGGATGCATAAAACAGTGGGTGCATGTTTGGTTTCTGTCCTTTTCCACTGGCTGAGTGCTCAGTGCTGACTCTTATGCTTTCTTTGTGAGCCTGAATCTGGGGTTTGCTGTATCTCGGGAATCACTTTAAGATGGTGGCTTGTTTTGGAACATGCAATGTTGCAACACGGTTGGTTTGAAACGCTTCACTATTGAAAGCTTTTCCAGAAGTAGCAGTTCAGTTATACAGACAAACCATGTGAACAAACATCCTTCAGTTCCAAGTAATAATTAACTTCTGTTTGTGCTGTCTGTCTGCTACTGGCTGGCCCGAAACCTTTCCCAGTAAAGCCACTTATGTCTTGAATTATGGGGACCCAGTGTAATAGCTTCAGTGTACTCATGGTTCTTATTCCCTATAACTGTGACCAGTTACGCAACAGTCTTCCTCTGGGACTTGTCCATTGTCTACTTATTCTTCCCTTCTCCCTCCACTCACTCAAGAGTATTCCTGCAGCAAACCATTAGGGTATTACCTCATCACAAGCTACTGTTGTGTCATGGTAGTGATTTAAAGAGTTAGATGTTCCCAGCAAGAGTTGGTTTTAATTTTTAAAGCAATAATTCCGCACTGCACACTGCTGCGCAGAGTTCTGTTGATAGAAATGATTCTAGTTTTTTCTGGGGGTTCTACTTGGTCTTCTCTAGTGTCAAGATTTAATTTCTTTTCCTTTTTTTTTACACTCCCCTATAGTAACTGTGTTTTATGGTGGACTGAAACTACTGGCTGGATGATATTACCACTTAGTATGCAATGCTAGATAGTTTGAATTCCATTGCAGAATGAAGTCCCCGCACATATAAAGTGTGTTATCTTCTTAATCCTATCAGGAATGAAATGTATAAATAACTGCACTGTGTGTTAGAAAGCCAGTGTTACTCCAGTGGAAATCATTTAGAACTGGAATTCCAAAATTCAGAACCTTGTTATTTTCTGCAGAGAATTTTCCATACTATTGGTTTCTTTTCATTTAAATGGGCTTTGACTGTATCAGGATCAAGCCTTGCAGCTCACTAAGTGTAATCACTCACTGTGCTGGTGTACAGTCAGTTGCATAAAATTAAAGATTTCCAATTTAGAAGTAATTCTCTTTCCGCTCTCTGTGGAGGAGCCAGCTCCAGAACTGTAAGTCCTTAATCACTGCCCTCTGATTTCAAATATATACGTTTATGATTTAGTGTCGTATGCATTTGGCTGTACATAGCTTTCACGCAGTCTTTCTGTGACACCTCATGCTTTTGTTTTGTGAAGCTCAAGAAGCCGAGTGCTCCTGACCATTATGAACAATGGATATAAATACTATAGAATCATAGA